TCGTTTTTATTCTTTTCTTAATTTTCATTTTTATTTTTTTTCTTGTTTATAGTAACTTTTAATAATTACAATTAGATAAATAGGACAAATAATAACATTCGAATATTAAATAAATTTTTACATTACAATGTTTATTGTATAATGAAGTAAAAATATTAATAAAGTCAATTTAATTTTTTTTCTGTTATAATACAATGCACATTATTTTTATGCAATTATATTTTATATCGAATATTTTATTTAGTTATTTCTGGAATGTAATAACATAAGTATACATCATATTGATGCATTTGACTTAAAAACATAATAGAATAACGTCAACTTTAACTAGATCTTATCAAAAATTTTTTTTGAAAGAACATATAATTTTATCTAAAAATGCTTTATAAAGTACGAAATATATATTTTTTTAATTTACATTTGTAATTGACGTAAATTTCAAATTTTATAAATTCGATATGAATTAATTATTATAATTTATTCCCAATTTTCTGAATTTTAGCATGTAATACATTATAAATTTATCACCGACATAATAAGATCCCATATTTGGAAGTATCTATTTGCTCAATATATTTTATATTTATTACAATTGTATGATATTATGAAATTAGTTATTTATCATTACCTTTAAATATAATAGAGTTAAGCTATTATAATATAAACACCATATATAAGAAAAGAATGTTATTGATTTATTTATTCAGTGATGTACATTAAGAAGCAATCCGTGTACACTAAGTTTTTTATTTTTTTTTTTTGATAATAAAATATGAAAGTACAAAATTAGATACATGTTCAGAAAAATTATGTAAAATGTTTTTTTCTTACCAAATCAATATTTATACAAATATATATAAATATAAACTGTAATTATATAAGATAATATTAAAAGTTGGAAAAATTATTTAATTGAGAGAAAGGATGTATGATATGCAATACAACATAGGTTTTTCTTTTGTTCGTTTTTGCAAAAAAGTGTGCATTTGATTATAATGCACATTGAATGGTCTTAAATATGTTTAAACAAGGGAAAAGTTTTATGTTAAATTATTGATAATATATATGGTATTAATATCTACAACGATATTTTTCCTATTCGTATTTTTATTATGGAATTCTATTATATGAACAAAATGTATTATTTTCCATCAATGAAATATATTATGATTTTTCTTTTACTATATTTTATACACATATTCAAAACATTATACTAATAGAAAAACAATAACTTTAGTTCTTATATATATTTATTCTGCCAAACTAATGGTTTATGAAATAAAAATTATATAGTAGCATAAATTAACAATACTGTGTAGAACTAGCACATACGTTATATATTTTGAAAAATGTTAAATATACTCCATAAATAAAGGAAAGCACTGAAAGCATTTTTAAAAAAAAAAAAAAAAAAATGAAACAAAAATACTTTATACATTCAAGTAGACATTTTATATACATCTCTCATGCACAATAATATGTTGAGTATCAATAATTCTTTTTTCTTATGTTAATAATATTTATAGCATAATATAATTACTTATTTTTTTGCAGTAAATTTTAGTATATATTTTTTTGTGGATTATAATTTAATTCATATTATATACAGATATATCTAGTATATTAGGACTACATAATATTTGTTTAAATGATAATAGACATTATATATATATTGTATATAACTTCATCTTTGTGTAATATATTAATAAAAATTTAAATATTCCTTATGTTAGACAACTTAATCTGTAATAAATCCGTGTCATAAAACTTTTGTTGAACAAGACGACATGCTTATGAGTACTAATGATTTCTCATTAATATTTATTAAAATATATCATTATTTAGGATATTTATATACCTTCTGTTTTGTGTACATTTCATTTTATATAATGAATTTTTATATAATGTTTACTTCATATTTTAATATAATGCCTTTATTATTTAAAATATCTCAGAAACTATTTTTTTTAATATACTATGGCCTAATGTTCTTAGAACTATGCATGAAATTAGCATAATTTCATGGATTTTCATATATATTGATTAATTAAAATGCTTTATAGGAACTTATTCATGCTAAATATCACATGGATATCAAAATGTTTGGTTTATGTTCTTTTTGTTCATGGTCAAATTGCTCACATAATAGTAAATTTATTAATTGTGCATAGTAGACTATAACATACACAAATTATATTATTTTCTATTTTTTTCTGATAATATATCATCATGTAATTGAAGCGTTCTATTATTTTTTATTAATTTAGAGAATTTAATCGATAATAGGAATTAATTTTTGTGTGATCATTCATCACAAGGTAATAGTTAAAGCTTTATGATATGCAATAATGATATTATTAAGTAAATTGTGTATCTTTTTAAGAGAATAGCATCTATAATTAATATGGATAATAGTATTTGAACAGTTATAATCTTATATACTGTTTGGATTTCATATAATATTATATATATCTACATGAGACCATATTTTTATTTAGCACACTTCTATTTAGTTTCATGACTCTTAGATTTTCTAATACACTATAACAAATTATCAAAAATTATTGTGATCTAGTTATATTCCTGGAAATAACTTTTTAATTAAATATAATTAATTTCATTTAATTAATTATTTTTATGTGGTGTGATACGTATGAAGCATTTAAAATTTTACAATACATAAAGTAATATATATTTTTCCGTAATTAGTTTTTGAATTTTAATTATGGAAGGAATCTAATTGGATAACTATAAAAGTTCTAAATAATGAATTTGTGTATATTATGTATAATAAGACTAAAAAAAGTTTTAAATGTGCTTTTCTTCTTTTCTATAGATAGGAATTTTCAGTAGTAACATCGGAATTTTGTCATTGATGTGTAATAAATAATGTTATATCGTAAATATATATATAGGTTTTGAATTATTTGAATAATTGTTAATAATACAGCAATAAAAATAATGATAATGGAATAATTTATTTTAATATTAATATTTCATCACATTTATTTATATTATTTATAAGAATATAACAATTAATTTAGTAAAAGAGATAATTTTTTTCACATTAATATAATTAAAGCCTCATTAAAGTTATCTAAAATTATAAATATTATTATCAATTGAATAAATATACAAATAAACTCTCATGAATAATTATAATATTATTAAGCTTTTGTAATATATTTCACAATAACTAAAAGAAGCACATATAAATAGAAAAATGATGCGTAGTACAGTATTCATTTTAATAATAGAATTATGAAATAAAGGATTTATATACATATTTTTAAAATACAAATCTATGATATTACATATATTTTTTGGTATTTTTTATATAATGAACTTATATTAGGACAATAAAATTTTTTATCATGTTACATAATTGTGGTAACATTACTTGTCTAAAAAAAAAATTAATATAGTGCAATATTTATGTAAAGATATATACTTTTCATGTTAATAAAATTTACTATTGTAATTTAATATTCTGTAAAATATATATAAATATATGTCAGCCTTATTTCTTTATATGTAAGAATTATATATTTTAATAATTAAATATGCTCTTTTGATAATATCTCATGACTATAAGATCAATAAATGTAATAGCATGTTTGAAGAAAATAACTATTATTTGTAAATCTCTAGTATTCACAAAAAGACATAATTAAAAAGAAAAACTAATTTATACAAAAAATAATAAAATTAACAAATATATATTTCACCCATTATACATTAATAAATTATAGGATGTTAATATTAATCCAATTCTAAAGTAATATTTACTCTTAAAATTATATTTTCATTATAATAACTATGTGAATAAAAGCATATCTTCTATCTTTTTGAAAATTATTCGTTGATTTCAAATTATATGTATATATGTTTTTTAAAAAAATCTTTTATTATAAAAATTTGAGAAATAAAATTATAATTTAAATACTAATAGTTTTATAAATATGAAAATCATTGCGTAATGACATGTGGTTTTGTTAATTGAAATAAAATTTCAAAAAATACATAAGTAACACGTGAACCAAATTAAATCTTAAAAAAAAATTTATTTGTATTAATAAATAAAAATAATAAAAAATATATAAGCATTAATATTATAAGCAAATCACTGAAAAGTAGAACATAGGAAATTACTTTTATTGTATATAGTAAAATGAAATAAATATAATTATAGATATATGTCAAAATACATATTATTAGATGTATACTGAATATTATGAGATTATAATTAAATTACTAAATCATATTTAACATTGTTGAATGTATATATAATAAAAAAATAGTAGAAGCAATTAAGATGTATATACAAAATAAAATGTGAATCTAATAGTATTGACATAAAATGTAAAAATATAGTAAGTTTACGAGAATTAATTAAATATAAAAATGAGAACTAGTATAAAATATTAGCACTTTTTTAAAATATTATTAGGATAAAAAAAAAAATACACATTTTAAAAGCTATAATTATGATTATTTAAATTTTGACATTAATGTAACATATAAGAAAGAAGTTCACAAAAATATAATAAAGTATATACTGATATATATTCTACTATAATAATGAAAAGTAATTATGTATAATATGTTTATTATATTTTTATTGATTTATTAAAATTAGTAAAAATATAAGTATTGATATTTATCAATGAAAAAACTGAACATAAATTTTTTATTCTAAAAATATAATTATAAAAAATATATATATTGTGGAGCATAAATTATAATCGAATGATCATTACAAAGAGTCTATGAATATAATCGCATGTATTAATATCTAAATTATAAAATATATTTACAAAATATAATGTAATGAGCATAAGCATAAATTTGGATATACTTAGTGCTATAGTTTAACAATAAATATTATTTTATTTACCTCAATAAATGATATGTGTTTCTATTTATACAATAAAATAATTAAGATTATATAATACATATAACAAATAACTATGACTTCTATTTAAGCGATATAAAAATGAATGATTTTGCAAGGCGTTTTTTTTTTTTTTTTTTTTATAGAAATTGTACAATTATAATAAACAAGAACATAATATTTCTTCATTTTTTTTTACCTATTTTCAATGATTTACATTTGTGCGTCCCTTAAATTTCATCATTTTACTTGGTTCATCTTCTAAAGCACGTAGTCATATATAGGATGGTAGAATCATTTGCACATTTGAATTATTATAACATATATTATCATATTATAATAATAACGTATGTCATTTTTTTTTGTTATTACATGGATGTATTCAGAATGATATATATTTTTTCCTACCAATATTTTCCTTTTATATACAGGATGTACCTTTGCATATATTATTCACTAAATATGAAAAAGCAATACATGCCATAAATAATAAAAGAGCAATAACTCTTTGGAAGAATGATTGTGATACAATTAAAATTAATACTTCAATTGGCTTTAATCCATATGTTACTGTAATGTGTTGCCAAGCTATGGAATATCTAAAAGAGGTATATGATAAAAAAGGTAATTCATTAGATAAATTTGCTTTTGAATACTTATATTATTGGATATATACGTATAAAAGAAAGAATATTCTAGAAAGTGAAGAAATAAAAAAAATATATATGGAATTTATTAATTTATTTAAGGAGAAGATCTATGATAACACTGAAGTATATGATTTTAAAGAATATAGTATTACCGATGAGGAGTTACAAAAGCTTAATAATTTATACGAAATGCATAAAAGTATTATTCTGATAAAAGATAAGTGTAAGAACAATAAAAATCCTGAATATTGCAATACGGTGAAAAATATTATAGAAGAGTTCTATCTACAAGGTACTGTCAATCCTAGAGAAACTTGTTCACCAAAAGAATTAAACAATTGCAAA